TGAACCGCTGATGTCACATGGATTATTTTACCGATCTCCTTGCTACGTTTCTGGACCTTGATCGTGGTAATTACATTGCTGTCTATGGGAGGGTCAGAGAGCTCTCAGAATTCATCAAAAATATCTTCATTTGTGTTCCGAAGATGAACGAAGGTCTTACGGGTTTAGAACAACATGAGAGTGAGTAATTAATGACAGAATTTAAATTTTTGGGTGAACTATCCCTTTAATTTCACATGGACCCTGATAATCAGGTATCTAAGACATTAAACAATGTTACCCTGGACCTGGAAGGCTTCTCTGATGCTGTCGGGAGGAAATGCGGACCACCACTGGTCCCACCTCTCTTTTATCTCATAAGACTGTACCAAACAACAGAGGGGGAGATGATGTGATCTCAGTTACAAAAGTGAGATTATATTAGATCAACACCTAAAATCCCCTTATTGGATGAATGATTAATGGCTAAGTGTAGTATGATTTTTTTTTTCAGTGCAGACAGTTCCTTTTCACTACAATAAGAACATGTTTTTTAAAAATACTGCATGAATGTAATCCCATACATTTTTTGACCATGTCTGTTTGAGGAAAAAAATTTGTTTTCCAATAGGCATCCTCCACTCTCCTATTGTCACAACTCTGTACCACCATCTGATTACACAACTACGTACACATACTGTAGAAGCTGACGAGACCGGAAAATGAAATAAGGAAACTCAGGGCTTAGATAGCTACAAGAGAAGAGTAATCAGTGAGAAACAGGTGTGTAGGACTAATTAACGAGGAAACTATAGGAATCAGACAGGCAACACAAGGAAAACTAAACCAAAAACAGACTGAACGTGTATGCACCTGTCCCAGCTTCTTAATAGTTAACATAACCAGCCAAATTAAAGGATGATGGAAAGTCTGAATGCCTTCCAGACCTGCATTTATTATTTATTCTGATTCCTGCAAATCACATGACTGACAGAAAAACTGCAACTGAAAGTGTAATATAATATTTTGCAGAGAAAGAACTATTATAAGAGTAATATATCTTTCTCTGCAAAATATTATATTACACTTTCAGTTGCAGTTTTTCTGTCAGTCATGTGATTTACAGGAATCAGAATAGATAATAAATGCAGGTCTGGAAGGCATTCAGACTTTCCATTATCCTTTAATTTGGCTGGTTATGTTAACTATTGTATAAACCACACAGTATTAAAGAGACAGCTCGCACAATGTAAATAACATCCAAATAAATTCACAAGAGCGAGTATATTGTTTGCACATGTTTATTTACATTAAAGGCAAAATAACTGAAATAATAAGAGCACAAGTATAGATCTGGAGCTTCTTTAAGTCTGTCTAAATATCATTTAGTAATTGCAATGTCTTCTGGTCCATATCCTTTCCTTAAT